CCCGCTCCAACATCCTCTTCGCTGGGCGCGACAAATGGTCACTGGACCCACGCGTGCAGCTCCTGGCGCACAGTGCTGCCGAGTTTGCCATTGCCATCGCCCGTGTGGACGCCTATGACGAGGGGCTCTACACCTGCTCCTTCCAGACCCGCCTGCGCCCCCACACTGCCCAGCTCTACCTCATTGTGCAGGGTGCGCCATGGGGGCAGCAGGGCCTGGGGGTGGGGCCTGCTGAGCAGGGGGAGGGATCTGGGAGAGGAGGGAGGGGCTTGTGGAGCAGGGGAACGGGCCTATGTTGCAGGGGTGGCCCATATAGGACCAGAGGTGGGGCCTATGGGGCAGGGGTAGTGGTCTATGGGGAAAGGGGCGGGACCTGTGGAGGAGGAGGTGGTGCCAGTAGGGCATGGGGCAGGGTCAATGGAGCAGTGGGTGGGGCTTATGGGGAGGGGCCTATGGAGTAGAGGGAGGGGTCTGGGGCAGGAGGGTGGGGCTATGGAAGAGAGGAGCAGCCCTGGGGAGGAGGTGGAGTCCTTGGTGGCAGGGGGTGGGGCCTGTTGGCTAGGGGCTGTGGCCTGGGGTGGTGGCTATGGAACAGGAGGTGGGGACTGGGAGAGGGGTGGAGCCTGTGGATCAGGAGGCGGGGCCTCTGGAGGAGGGTGATCTAAGGGGTCTGGGGAGGGCTAGGGCAGGACCTGAGGCCTCTCCTCCCCCTGGCCCCGCCTCCTCCTTTCCCAAGGAGGTTGCTGCCAAACTGGCAGGAGGCACCTGGAGATGGGACAATGGGAGCTGATTGGTTGGGGTGGGGGGGGGCGGAGCTGGCACCTGGCCCATAGTTCTCCTTGATTGGCCGGAAGGAAGGCAGCAGCAACGGCCAATCAGAAGGCAACAATAGGCCTCATTAGCAGCTTTATTCCACTCTGAAGTACCGTGAGTCAGGGGTTAACTCCTTCCTGCCTGCTGCCAGGAGTCTGCTGCTGGGTGCCAGGGCTGGGGGCAGCTGGCTCTGGCAGGGCCAGCCTGGGATTAAGGGTTCTGGGGGTGCTCATTCATGTGTCATTCCCCCCACCCCCCAGTCCCTGCCCGGATAACGAACATCTCGTCCTCGGTGACGGTGAACGAGAGCAGCAACGTCAACCTGCTCTGCCTGGCGGCTGGCAAACCCGAGCCCAGTGTCACCTGGCAGCAGCTGAAAGGTAGGTGGGGCCGGGGGGGCAGGGTGCTCCTCACTCCCAACCTGCAGCCCACTGCCCCCTGGCCCTGCTGGTGCTCCTCACTCCCGACCTGCAGCCCCTGTCCCCTGTAGCCCTGCCAGTGCCCCTCGCTCCCGACCCACAGCCCCCCTGAGTGTCTGAGGAGGTCGATAACGGAGGTGTCATTGTGTGTGTGTGTTGCGTGTTTCTCTCGTGCGTAAGTCTGTGTTTGTGTCTGTCTCTGGGCCCCACCTCCCCTGCCCTGCCCTGCCCCTCCTCCCCCATCCCCCCACAGATGGCTTCACCAGTGAGGGCGAGTACCTGGAGATCACAGGGATCACGCGAGAGCAGGCCGGCGAGTACAAGTGCATCACAGACAACGGCGTTGCCTCCTCTGACAGCCGCACTGTGCTGGTCACTGTCAACTGTGAGTGAACCTGCCCAGGCATCTGGGGTGGAGCAGCCTAGTGGAACAGGGTAGTCCCTAACCCCAGAGCCAGCTGGTGCCCATGAATCGTGGCATCTGCCCTGCTTCTGGGTTTATTTGGCCCCATGATGTAGCCAGTGGTGGAGCAGCTGGATGTAACATTCCCCAAGAAGGGGGAAATCCTCTCCCAGAGCTGGATGATTCCCCTCACTACCAACTCACATCCCCCTTGGTACTGAGACAGCCCCAGCTTGGAGTGGATGAAGCAGTTGCCCCTAGGGGAGATGGGTCCCCAAGACAGCCAGCACCCAGGATTGGGGCAGGATTGTGGCCCCCACCTCTGACTTTTCTCTCCCTCCCCCCATAGACCCACCGGTCATCTCAGAGACGAAGAACTTAAATCCCCCCCTGGGTAAGTCAGCCATCCTGCGCTGTGAGGCCATGGCCGTGCCCCCCGCCAACTTCGAGTGGTTCAAGGATGACAAGCTGTGAGTAATGAGCCTGCACATTGGCCAGCAGGGAGGTTGTGCATCATGACTGGTGTTTGGTTGGTTGATTGGTTTGTTGTTTGGCTAGTTTGTTGCTCATTGCATTGACCACTTGTTGGGTGGTTGGTTGCATGTTGAGTGTGGTTGGTTGCATGTTGAGTGTGTTGGTCGATCAGTTGTTAGTGGGTTACATCATGGTGGAAGTCCTTCATTGGTGGGTTGTTGAGTTGATTTGGCATTGGATTTGGTTTGTTGGATTGGTTGTTGGTCGTGATGGTTGTGGGTTGAGCTGGTTGGTGGTTGGTTGTGGGTTGGGTGAGTTGGGTGGTTGGTGGTTGCATTGGTTCATGGCTGGGGTCATTCACTGGTGGGTTGTCATGTTGACTGGATATTGAATAGCATTGGGTGGGTTGATCCAGTTGGTGGTTCATTGCATTCGTTGGTTGTGGGTTGGGTGTGTTCATTGCTGGTTGCATTGGTTCATGGCTGATGTCATTCATTGGTGGGTCATTGCATTGACTGGGCATTGAATAAGGTTGTTGGGTGGGTTGAGCTAGTTGGTGGTTCATTGCATTGGTTGGTTGTGGATTATTGTTGTTTGCATTTGTTCATGGCTGGGGTCATTCATTGATGGGTTGTTGCACTGACTGAACATTGAATAGGGTTGTTGGGTGGGTTGTTGGCTGTGTTGGTTGTGAGTTGATGGTTGAGCTGGCTGGTTGTAGGTTAGTTGCATTTGTTCATGACGGTCATTCATTAGTGGGTCATTGCATTGACTGGGCATTGAATAGGGTTGTTGGGTGGGTTGAGCCTTTTGGTGGTTCATTGCATTGGTTGGCTGTAGATTGGGTGTGTTGGCTTGTTGTTGGGTGGATTGACTCATGGCTGAGGTCATACATTGGTGGGTAATTGCATTGACTGGGGATTGAATAGGGTTGCTGGGTGGGTTGTTGGTCACGTTGGTTGTGGGTGGAGCCACTTGTTGGTTGGTTGTGGGTTGCATTGGTTCATGGCTGGGGTCATTCATTGGTGGGCCGTTATATCTGATGATGAATCAATGAGTTTGTTGGGTGGGTTGGTTGGTTGTGTTGATTGTGGGCGGAGCTGGTTGGTGGTTTGTTGTGTTGGCTGGTTATTGGGTAGATCTCTTTGTTCTTGAGTCAGTTGGTATTTTGGGTTGGCTGTTGTGAACCCTTTGTTGGCTTATTTGGGGTGTTTAGCTGCTGATTGGTTGTGTCAGTTGAGCAGGGCTCACTAGCTGGTGGGTTGTGTTGGTTATTGGGTAGGCAGATGGTTTATTGAATGGAGTGTTGGCTGGTTGTTGATTATGGGTTGAGCTGATTGGTAGTTCATTGTGTTTACTGGTTATGGTGTGGGTTGGCTGAGTGGTTGTCTTGCCTGATGGTTGGATCTCACTGTAGTTGGTTGAAGGGTGGTTGGGTTGAGTGGGTGGGTAAGGGGAGGTCTGGGTAAGTGGCTGGGGTGGGGTGATATGGGCAGGGTGGTTGGGTTGAGGGTGGCATCAGTCAATGGTTGTTTAGGTTGACAGGGTGGGTTGATGATAGGATGGGGGGTTGGGTTGAGGGTTGATTGGATTGGGGGTGGGGGGATTGGGTGGAGGGGGTTGGGTTGATGGGG